TCTGCAGGAGTGCATTTCGGTGTGGAAAAGAAATATTTTCTCATGACATTGCAAAGGAGAGAGACATTTCATATGCACTTGATAATAAAAAGGGAAAAAAAGGAAAAACATAAAACATAGCCTTTGGTTACATATAATTGAACCCTATTCCGTTTTATCGAATTAATGTGCATTCGCAGGAGTACACCGTATTAAAAAGGGTTAAATAGAAAATCACTGCAATTATGTCTGAACTTTATATCATTGAACCTAAAAACTGTACTATAACAGTATGTTAAGATTTCTCTCGAATTTGTTATGCATAACACGGTGTTTGCTTTTGTAAAATTGAAAAATAAAATATGGTTTTGTACAGTGTTTTAAAAGGGGCATTAGAGAGATGGTCAAATTATTTTTACCGGGTAATAAGCACCATTCAAAATGACTGCAATGCAATTTTCGTACATATGACGTATTTTGAAGGTTATACCAAGACCAAAAATATTTCATTTATCAAAGAGAAACCTTGCCAAGCCGACAGAGCTCCAGTTACCCAATGTGGACATAAAAAGCCATTTAATCATATAAACATATCATACACAGACGACAAGGATTAGCAATACAACAAGGAATATCTCTTGATAAATAGATATATAATGACCCCAAAACAATAATGTATTTAAAAAAAAAAGATGGGAAAACACTGAGTAGCAGTGGCCTTCAACGCAGAATATGTCTATTTACAATTTTTATTATAACAAAACAAGAAGACAATTGAAATATTATTAGAGATGAAATAGGTTGATGATTGTGTGATGGACGTGATGTCTTCGCTCTTTTTTTGTCGACTTTCCTTAGTTGTGTAGCGGTGTGACATTGTCGACTCGAGTAGAATTTGTGTCTCCCGGTTGATTTGGGGACATGCACACCGTGCGAGTAATTTCTAAGGCAGAGCAGGTTGTTTGTTGGCAGGTTGGTGGTCTAGGAATACAGTCGGTCTCGTTTGGAATCAGCATTTCGCATGTCCAGTGGTTGGTGTGGTGGCCTTGTCGTTGACTTAAATCTGTCTTTGGGTCAAATTTAAGCTTTTCATTATGATTGATGGACTGTTGTGTTTACACTGATTTGCCTACGGAATTTAATATTCTCCCGATCATGGCGAAGGGTAAATTGTTGGTGAGACTGGTCGACGGGGGATGCTTAACTCCTCCATTGCACCTGATAACACCTCTGATATTTTAAGAGGTCCTTGTTTAATTTGCTATAGATTTATATAGTTTCATGAATCTTTTGAGCTTCATCTAGGGTTCCATATCTCAATATTTTTTTCACCCCAATAAATGTACTTTAATAACCACCAATCATTGTTTAGAAGAACATAAATACTACGTAAAAGATACAAAATGGACTCAAAAGTTCCTGCTTATACATATTGATTTTTTTTCTCAAAAAATGATAAATAACATCCTTTTTATCTGCATTGATGCACTTCAATTGTAAACAATGCTATGTTATTTGACTTAAAGCACCAATGCGTTAATTTAAATTAAATTCAAGGTCATGTGCCATAAGGAATAACCTATTAGTACTTTCTTCATTATGCTTCGTCACAATCATCCCCAAATAAGGATCTGCTAGAACCTGAGTGTGTAAAACTGTTGTATTTTTTGATTATGGATTAAGTGCTCTTATTTACTTCGAAAGTCATTATCGAAAATAAAAATGTAATTAACCAGTAATTTCATTGCTTTTATTTAAGATTCATTAATTTTTCCAAAGAAATTCTTATACATCACGAGACTTTTTTTCCTTTCTGGGTCCAAATCTGGTGAATCATCTATTGGCAAAGTGACCTTAAGACAAACAAGGCTTACAACAAGAAATGTTCTTTTATTGTTCATAGAATTTTTTACTCTCGTAGTGGGAATGCTCTTTTTTACTTATGTGAATTAAATTAACAAAGAATCCGAATTGTCTGTGATCAGAATTACTGTGAAAGACGACGGAACACCTTGTATATATCGAATTGTAGTATTTTTATGACTATAGCTTGTTATGATCGTATTAAGCATCTTACATCGTAAATTACCTGCGTTACTTTCACCATTGTTTGTTTATACCTTTACTTTTTGTTGATGTTAGAACAGACATTTCCGGAATTTTGCATGTAAGTATCTGAATACATGTACCTGATGTGCTGCACACATTCTTCCTATTTATGTATATTGACCTCTATCAAATATATACATATACTAATAACTGATAATAAAGAAAAAAACATAATAATATCAGATACAATTTTTTTAAAACATTAAGTATTGATATTGGGGTCAGTTTTTATTCCACCCTATAAATTGAGAAAAAAATTTATAAAATTTTCCTGAAAAGATATTGCATTAAAATTAATTCAAATGTACCTGCCTGGCTGTTTGTAATTATCGATGTAACTAGAAGACAAAACATTTATTTTCCTGACTGTGAATATATATCATTGATGAGGATATGGGAAAAGGGTTTTGTTCTGTTACACGAAATATCTCTTATTGGAATAGGCAGATATCGAAAGGTTATCAGACGTCCGTAAAAACAATACAAATCGAGAGCAGAGCAAATTCGGACCTATAAAAACATCAGAGAGGAGAACATGTAAATCCCGCCTGGTCTAGCGGTCATATTCGCGTATACTACATGTTGTTATCTGAAAAATCTTGTAGAGACAGTTCAGTTTGTAATAAATTATAAAAATATTTGTATGAAAAACGTCAGTCAGCTTTCAAATTTTTGAAAGATTATATTTGCTGACAAGGTCATCGTATCGGATCATAAAACTTTCAAAACGTTAATAAAAACTTAGAACATGCCTTTGCCTTTCAACTGTTGATACCATAAAACTTGTTTCAAAAGCTTGTTTCAACCTGAAGCATGTCTCGTTTAAGAAGCTGTTCATATTTAGAACATGCCTTTGCCTTTCAACTGGGAAACATAAGCTCAGTATGCAGGTGATAAATGTACCGGTATATTATACCTTCTTACCTAGACTTCATGACAAGAAATCACGTAGCACATGTTTTCACGATTTTGACCAACTTGACGAATCGAAAAATCGATAGAATCAATTGTTGAATAGAATAACTTATTTTGTTTGTTTATTTGTATTGATAAACGTCCCTCTCGAGAATGTTTACTCATATGGAGACGTCACAACTTGCGGTTGAGAGAGGCAAATTTTGACCTCTGTATGGCACTATGGGTCATTGAGCATTGAGGGATCTTTTACGCGCCAGAACCTACTGCGACACGGGATTTCGGTTTAAACAGAATCATCCAAAAGACCTGTCTTCATGTCCCACAGTGGGATTCAAACATATGACGTAAAGATCAACTCCTTCCTCCGCTCTATAATCACTGCGAAACTCGGGCGACTTAGAACAGTGAATAAAGTACATACAAATATAATGACTGTCCTTTCTGTAGAACTTATTTGCAAAAACTGTGAAGCAAAATCAGAAATGACAAGGATTGCTAAGTTCAACATTGCACATCATGCTGCTTCTATCCGCGGAGGCCAGCGTTTGTTCTGCTCATAACTTGTAGCGTTTCTAGGATTTTGAGCATGATTTAACTATGTCTTTGTTATTTTCTTTTATAAGTTGCAAATGAAAGATTATCAATAAAGATTCTTTTCTTAGCATCTAAAAAATACCATTATTTTTAAACAATCTCATTTAAAGGACAGGAGAGTTAAAGAAATTACAAAATCATAATTGATTAATTTATTCGTTATTTTACGTCTTCGTCGAAAGTTTAAATATGTGTGAATTTTAGTAAAGAGATAAAAAAAACCCCCGATATTTACAATATAAAGATTGTCTTCTTATACAAAAACTATTTCATGTCTATATCAATCCAACAAAAATAAATGGAAGCAATCAGAAACAATATCAATGCAACATATATTAGTCTTAGAAAAATATATGACAATTAAAAGATACAGCTTTCAGTTCAGTGGGCAGAGGAATTTTGGTATTTGGATACATGCATTATATGGGTCGTAAATATAAGTTGCTTATGCATTGAGAGTGACTGTTTTGTTCACTATCTTAATTTTAAAAAAGAACTCAAATCAGTAAAGACGTAGTAAATCTGAAAAAGGCAAAAAAAAAAAAAAAGATATAAAATCTGCAAGTAGTCCCCACTTTTCAATAACTGCCATTATACTATACAAATTAAAGATTCTTGCCTACATTAACCTATTATTTCCCCGCTAGGTGCAAGGGTAAAAGCGTTTACTCTAGAGTTGCGGTAAAAGGAGTTTATCCTTACGTCGCATAATTGAATCCCACTGCGGCACGTTCAGATCGGTCCCTTGAATTAGATCTTATTAAAACGAGGACCAGTGACACAGAAAACGCTGACACCAAAACGATCACTAGGGCCCAAAGGCCTAAAGTGCCGACTAAGCAGTCCTCCGCCGGCAAGTAGTGATATTTTCATATGAGTGAATAATTCTTGAAGAGGAGTCAAGCAGCATACAGTCAAATAATTAATCGTTTATTTATATATCAAATTTTTAAATGACCACCCAATAAAAAAGGGGAAATATATAATTTGTCGTTTTTTAAAATTATTATTGAGAAATACTCAACACAAAATATTTAGAAAGGTTTTTAGGAGAATAAATATCACTCGTTATGGCTACCATCAAACATTACGGAATGCACTTGACAAAGTCCAAAAGGGTTGCAAAAATCCTTGTCAATCCAGAAAATACGATTCAAAGCTTCTCAAATGATTGCATTAAACCTTTCATCAGGCCCACTTCATGGCTTGTTACCCAGATTTAGTTTTTCGATATTCTTAAAATAGACTTTCAGGAGGCCCAAGCAACAGATCGCGAGGAAAACTCGGACCGAGTGAGAACTGTTTGTACTTCTATTTACAGACATTAACACATAAATCAAAGTTATGAAATATTATGGCATTGACCTTAATCAATAATTCTGGCGGGAAAAAATATCATTTGAGGTCCACATTGACGAGCGAGTACTTAAGTAAAATGGCTGCAGGACTTTTCTCATTTACAGACAACCTTGTTAAGGATATGTGTTTTGCAAGCCAAAGTAGAGAAACTTGATGACATTAAGGAATAAACAACAAACAGCTTGGAATTATCCAAAGGTTAGTCTACATCGTTTATTATTGCTATTTCATGTGAATTTCATCATTTTTTTAATTTCAAGATTAATAGTCAAAGAAATTATCTTAAAATACTCATCAAGTGTTTCTGCATTCATGAACTTGCTTTAAACGATTTAATAAAGATATATTGTGAATTCAATGTGAAGATAGCATACGATTATAATGTATAGAATTCAATGCACTATTTTAGAACAAAAGTGATTCTATATATATAAACCATTTAAATTTATGATTCATGAAATCACAGGAAAACATTCACCAATGAAAGATCAAATTTGCTTCGTGCAAAAGGGTTATATTCTGACCACACTTATTGTGTTTTCCGCTTACAAATTGTCATTTAAGAAAAATGCTGACAGATATGTGAGATCTGGCTTAAGTTTTAACCCTTGTCAAGACTACCAAATGACGCTGCACTCTATGATTGTTAAGTAAACTGATGGTGATAAAGAAGCTATCAGATATTACAGAAATTGATACGTGTGGGCTTTTAATGGAATAAAACATGATTACTGATGATATGGACGTCATATTAGTGTTAAATTGCGCATTGTGAAAAATATCTAAATTACGTTTTTCCTAGGTACAGCAATACTAGTACAACTATTATTGGAATAGAGATATTGCAATCGAATTACCTGATGAGCTGAAATTTATTCTCTGAGTATATTTCAACACTTGATACAAACTGTTGCAAAGACGTCAATGTCATAAAGAACATATTCCCAATGTCATGTTTTTAACATTTAAAGTGGGATATTCACAAAAGACTCGAATCTACATGTACCATGTCTACGTCCTGACCATATTTGAGGAAGAAAGAAAAAATCGCGATTCAAATAACTTTTCCAAGTGCTAATTTGTTTAACGAAAGTAGCTTATCTTACTAAATTTTTCTAGCTTTCACACATACAAGTATAACATCGAAAGATGTTAAATACCATATATATATGAAGAAAATGGATTTACAAGTAATCAAGCCCAACAAGCAAATGGGTCAGTAGACATTGGTAGAAGAGCTTACCCTAACACCCTAAAAATTTAAGGTGGGATCAGGTGCCAATGAGGAGTAAGCATGCTCTGTCAACATTCGCCGTTTGCTTCATTCAATAATTGTCTTAAGTGTTAAACTTGTAGACAACATTGAATTGGAGAACACAAATATGAGGAATATTATTTGTGCTTTTTTTGAAGACTGTATCAAATCTTCGGTCTTTCTTTATTGTCTTACGTTAATGAAGATAATGAACAAACATCATGCTCAAAAGTCCACTGAATAATTCAAATAAAGAGAACAAGAAAAAAAAACTTAGGTGTAAGTATCAGGTGCCATGGAAGAGTAATCAACCCTGTCGATTGGCCACACCCGACGTGCTCTCCTTGTCATGATCGAGTAAATGGGAAAATCTGTAGACAAATCAGTCTGACATTAATTGCCTGACATTTTTTTATGATAAACGTCACAGTCAAAATTCGACGTAATAATGAATTGTATTTGCTGACAAGGTCATTATATCGACCATAGAATTATTCAAAATGTTGACCTTCATCATGAAGGCTGTTGATATCTCTATTCTTCAATAAGTAAAATAGGATGTGTACAACTGCATTGTGTAATAAAGAATCAATCTGCAAAAGTATTATAAAAATTTGTTCTTTGGCAAAGGAGGAGTTGCGAATAAAAGATGGATATGCTTCAACATTACAGAAAGAATGGTAGTGTCCATGTTTTAACTTTTTTATGTATTGCCATTTTCCACCGCCTATTTTACGTTTTGATCAGAAACACAGTTTGGGTTGCCAAAAGCAGAACAATGGCACTGCTATTCTTTCTATAAAATTTATGGTTACTAGTACTAGAACCCATCTCTTATCCGTAACTCCTCCAATACAATTTTAAAAACTTTAATGATACTTTTACAAATTATTTATTAAATGCCGTTATGAACCACAAATCTTAATTTTTGATCTGACACTTATTTAGAGTCTCTCTGAGCAAAACATGGGCTTCGCCATTATAATCATATGGGATACGTGGGTATCATATACCGAGCTCAGTGCGCACAGTACCTCTAGCTTGAAATGACATAAGTGATGATAACAATTATAACGAATTAAGAGATATTCCAATATCAGATTTCATTTTCTATAAAGGCTGTTGTTTATGATGTTATGTAATACGAAAACAAACATTTATACTTCGATGAATTAATGTCCAGGCTTTCTGACATCATTAACATCTGCTTTTGCAATAAAAGGGAATTTGTAAATTTACTTACCTTGTCATCTTACATTTGCAAAATTATTTTGCTAAAAACAAACCTATTGTACAAACAAATACTCCGAAGTTGATGCTTAAATGATGATAGAGTTTCGGACTGACAATATGATACAAGATATTTTTACAATCTATTGGAATTTCCATAAGTACCAATTGTACGTGCCCCCCTATACGCAGGCATATTTTTGCATTCATATGCAGCAGAATTTATTCAAGATCTTTTACATTTAGATATATCGACACGTATTGTCAATTAATAATTTCCTATCCTATTTCGATATGATATATCAAGATTAGCTTGAAATAATAAACGATACCACAGAGTCTGACACACATGTTCCATGTATGGATAATATACTAAAAAGAGAATAATTGTTATCTAACGAGAAGGCTTTATGATAAACGTGTTGACTTTAACTTTTCAATCGTCATCTTCCCTTACTTTTGCAACTACAAACCTTTGTCACCTGCATACGGAGTTTATATTTCTCAGTTCATTCGATGAGAAAGAGCATGTTCAATGAACAATTTCTGAAACGAGGAAAGTTATTGATAAACAAGTTGATGAAGCAAGAATAATAGGTGTCTCGTTTAAAGTCATCATTTTGTTAGTTTTATGGTAGATACAATGACCTTGTCAGGAAATACAAATATCGTTAAGTCAAATGCTGACAGACTTTTTTCATGCTGATTGTTAGGCTATTTTTTTACACACTGAGTTGTCCATGGGTTTTCCTGGTTTTGTTTTTCGAACATGACAAGGAGCACACGGTAGTTGTGATCGGTCGGCAGGAGATGCTCACTTCTCATGGCACCTGATTCCCCCCTCTGATGTGTTGGAGGTCTGTTTGCTCCGGCCCTATTCACACTAATACCCGAAAAAAAACCTAAGGTTCCATTTACTCTCTTGTTATATCATTTGAATTATTTCTTTTCTTATTCACCATTAAAAAGCATATTTAATTCATGTTTCTTTTAAGGCATCTGTAAAGAAATAAGACCCCAAATTGATATACGTTACGAAAAATTTCTAGGTTCAATATTTTCAGTGGTGAACTATGTAGTGCATTTGCAATATCTTTCTATGAAAATCTGGCATTTACAGATATCATCTTGCTCACAGCATCGACATTTTTTGATGTCCCTACAGATTTTGATCGACGATTTCAGTCAGTTTTAACAATCCTTTTTTTTTTCGTATATGAGAGTCTTACATGTGCATTTGAACATTGTGTAGAGCAAAAGGCTTGTCTTTTCTGGTATTAAAACCAAATCTATCATTTGCTTCCTCTTACGCTTTTATTTTTATTTTTCTTGTTTCATATCAATTTCAAGCAGAGTTCAGCTCAGTTTTAAGACAATATTAATGCTAACTTTGAAAGTGAATGTCTTTTTGGCAAATTAAAATGGAAGTTGCATATCGTTTGGATGATACCTAAAATGGATGAGGCCCCGTGTCATGGCAGGCGTACGCACGATAAAAATTCCAAATTGCTCAATTGTTTTGCCGCGTCTATATTTCGGTAAGGTCTATATGAGTTAAATAGGGTCAATCAATATCAACATTTCAGAAGACCGAAGAAAGCTTTACGTCATATCAACAAAAGTATATGTTGAAAAAATAAAATAAATCTTTTTGTAACTTGACACTTGTATTTGTTTTGTTTCTTACTCCCTGCAAAAAAAAAACCCATTAGGTTTCATCAATCCCATTGACGGTTCGATTTCGCATTTATTTAACATTAATTTATATTGAGGTAACCTTTGAAAATGATTGTATAACCATTTGTAAGACAGTAAGTTAGAAGCAAATGAAATGAAAATCTTAAGCTTAATATCAGCTTAATTCTCTTCTACGAATTTATTTTTACCTAAATGCTTGAACTTTATGTTCTTTTCTTATTTCAGTAGGATTAACAGTTACATTCTCAGCTCTAATTTTGTATAATTGTTTATTGCACTTTCGAACTTTCGAACTTGAATACCGTTCGTTATCTCCATATCTTTCAATCAATACTTCTAACATAGTCATATTTAATTTTTTTTAAGTATGATTTAGGAAACTTATTTTATATACTATATCAATAAATAGAAATTCTTTTAGGGAGATAAACGATTGTATAATTTTGTTTTTTTCATTTACTCCAATAAACAAGTTTTTTTCTCTCTCTCATATAATATTAGTTTCACCAGAAGCCACAGTGATACATCGTGCTGATATTAACAGTAATATTCTGCTGTACATCAGTCCTGAGATGTATGAGTCATACCAAAGATTTATCACGATTAATCTAGTTTAAGACTTTTCTACAATCCTCTGACAGTTGTTCGATAGCCTTTTGCGAGTTAATGCTCTTGGGTCAATCAGCTAGACAAACTTCAATTCATATTTTCCATTTTCTAAATCTCGGTCACAAAGGCGAGATGAAAGAATTTCAGCCACAGAAGTAGATAAAACAAATTGTTGAAAAACACAATATATCAGATAGCGACAAAATGTGATCCAAAACGTCTTTAATGAGTGTTTCATACTCAGAAATGTGTGATTTTGGCCATTAATGTCAGTAGCATCAAAGGATATGTGTGGGAGAGACGGATTTAAGGGAGACTGAAGAGTCTTCCGGTTTAGAACCTCATGAATGGAAGTCGTTGGAAAAATCGAACTTGATTATCGCAGAATAAAATACAAAGTGCAGAA